CAGTTGTTAATCAACTGACAAATGAAGCAATTGTGCTAATGGTACTGCAGGGTGCAAGTTAAAATGAAGAAGCCAGAGTTAATGAAAATGATGCAATCAAAGTTGTAGGCAGAATTTGTATCAATATTTGCATACAGTTGGCCACAGATTTGATAACTCGATTGGAGCCAAGAAGTTTCATTTGAGAGGAAGAGATAACGTCAGTGTATGTGACGCAAGAGAACCTTATTGAAGAAAGACTGAAATATGGTGAGAAATCAAACTGCAACAAAAGCAGAAGTTGCTGGAAAAGCTCAGCAGGTCTGGCAACGTCTGTGGAGAAAAATCAGAATTAACGTTTCGGGTTCGGTGGCCGTTCCTGAGAACGGGACGGTTCTAAGGAAGGGTCGAAACATTAACTCTGATTTTTATTCACAGATGCTGCCAGGCTTGTTGAGGTTTTCCAGCAACTTCTGTTTTTGTTCCTGACTACCATCTGTAGTTCACACAATGGAAATGTATTTGTATGAATCGGTGCCTTGAGAATAGTAGAAGGTGGCAGGAGTTGAGAAAGGAATGGTTTAAATGCCAGGATGCATTGACTCAATCTTTATTGTTCATTTCTGTGCTTGATCATTATATTTGCTGTGAACAGTACATGCATATGCACAGGTTGATGCACAGCCACACAGGTGTTAAATGAATGGTTTAAAAACTCCACTGACCCTGGGGGCACAACTTCCCGTGGTCTGGTTAAGATTTTGTCCTGAGACTGCTCGTTTAGATGGGTAAAACCTGTACAGCCTTGACCATGATTCAAAAAGACCTCATTGGCTGTAAAATGCTTTGGGATGTTTGGTCATAATGATGGCATATAACTGAATTTACTTTTGGCTTTTATTTCATTTTCCTGTCTTTGTCTTTTCTTTCTTCCTTTTGGTTATTAAGTCAGAATATAACTCAAAATAATACTTTTTAAAGTAAGGTCAGAAATCACAGGACACCAGGTTATAGTACAACAGGTTTATTTGAAAACACTATAACCTGGTGTTGTGTGATTTCTGACCTTGTCGACCCCAGTCCAACACTGGCACCTCCACATCATTTTTAATGTAAAGCTGTAATATCTAAAAAGTGACAATTTGAAATGGAAATGTCTGACTTTGAGAGTGAGATTTCCTTTTGGGCCAAGAGGACTAACTTTATTTTATTTTCTATTTAACTCTGTGTATTAATATACAATTGAATTGTTGTTGTTTTAAAGTTTGCTAGCAATTGTTTACAGTCGTTGTGTCCTTTTGGACTTAATTTCTAAAATATTTTGCATGCTTTTTCTTACAGCTACAGGAATCTCCTCAACAACCTCAGTTCAAAATGTTTTGATCAATCCATCTCTGATTGGCTCAAAAAATATCCTTATCACAACTAACATGGTCTCAGCCTCAGGAAGTAACAATGAAGCAAATCCATTGAAACGGAAACATGATGATGATGATGATTATGATGCTTCCTAAAAGCGGATCTGACCATCATTTTGAATCACTATTCTTTTTAGAATAAATTCTATATATTGAGACTTTCTGATATGAATGATGAACATCTGCCAATATCAATTTGGCATTGTTTGCAAGTCATCCAGATTGGACAGGCGAAGCTGTAAATCCAGCATTGTGAAGCAAATATGTAAAAGTGCAGATGGTTTGTATGGCCACTTGAGAATTTGGAACATGAGGTGTAAGCAATGTCTTGTGTTTGTGTTAAGTAAATGTGCCATTTTAGTTCTTTAAACAGTCATCTGCTTGGTATCCCTATATGTCAGGAGCCTTTTTCTAAGTTGATTTTCAAGATGTTTTCTGTACTTTGGTAACTCCTTTTAATTTGAAGAATGCACATTATTTGAGTTACTTAAGGACTGTGATTTCTGCATATGTTATATTTGCATTCAGTTTCTCCCACCGTCGATTGATGTACGTAATTTATTTCTGCTTTTGTTTCTTAAACATTTAGAGATTGCCAGTGTTGTGTCAAATTCACTCCAAATAACAAACCCAAAATTGTTTGCATTTTTGTGCTGTTTTATAGAATTATTCATAAAAATGCCTGTTGTATTTTAAGACATTTTTGTATAATGGATCAGGTTTTTCTGAAACAAGTGCTAGTTGTACGTATTGGATAAACAGGTTTCTTTGCAGTTGGGTCCTCTTGTGGGGTTTTGTTATTAGCTGAGTTTCATAAAACAATTATTTTTGATGGCTTTTTAAAAAGTACCTTAGACTTTGTGCTCTTCAATAATGTATACTCTACAGAGAAACTTGAGCTCTGTAAGATAATCGCAAACATTAACCATTTTCTGGGTAATAGTGCTGTACTGGATTTCTTCTGTTTTCATATTGTTTCACCCTCATAGTTAAACTTGTTCCACAGTTTAAGTACAATGTATTACAGTACTTGTTTTGTTCTTGTATAGTTAAGTTTGGAAAATATTTTGACATATCAACTGTTTTCAGTTAACTTAGATTTCAAAAATAATGATTTTATACTCTCCTACCATCCCAATATTTATTGTTTGTATTAGAGCAGAATTCTTTCCCCCCCCCATCACTGTGAAGTGTGACTAAGTGCAGAGTACAGCATTATGCCTCAAACAATGTTTGAGAACTAATAAATCAGAAATTGCCAGTTGGCATTTTCACACTTCTTCGCTCAGCTATCTTTGGTCTAATTTAGGTAAAGTTATGACTTCTCCTTCTTCACTATACCAATAGGATTGATTACCCTAGAATCAGGAAGGATGTTTTCTTTTCACAAAAAAGAGGGATTGAAATACATACATCTACTTACATTTTCAAAACATATCGATTTGTGTCAATAGTTTTAGGACATGGTCACTGCGTAGTTAATAATGACTTGGAACTCATCACTGAAGCAAAACTATTAGCTGATCTGTTTCTTGGTGATTACCATTGAGGGAAAAATAGCCAGGGTACTGAGTAAACTTCCGGGTGCTTGAGCCAAACAGCATCCGCAGTTCTTTTGGTTTTTACATATGATCTCCGTATTGGAATGAGGTTGCCCCTTACATTACAGCTCTTCCTTGGTCTTACGTGTGGATCATTTGCCATTGCTCAGTTGGTAAAACACATCTGGTGAGTCCTGAGGTAATGAGAAGTACTATATAAATTCAGCTATTTTGATACAATGAAATATAATTCTAGATTATGTGCATAAATAAATAAGGAAGGCTATTTGTCCAATCTCATGATAAAATACAATCCTCCACAATTGTTTCTGAAAAGACTTTGAATTGAAATGTATTGTTGTACAGACAATGAATTTCCAGATATCCATCACTCTTAGTGCAAAAAATTTGTTGATCAGTTTAAAATGTATCATTTCCTGATTGATATGAGGGAATAGACTAGAATTTTGCAGTCTTATTTAACTAGGTTGAGTTATCTTCCCTGTAGATATTTTGATTAAACTCTACAGAGATGTTATGACACACTCCTTGAGCAGATAGGACTTGAAGCCAGGCCTAATGGCTCAAAGTTAAGGGCACTATTACTGCACCACAGGAACCTCCCTTCCTTGTAATTTTTTCATTAACCTATTTTTCTAATCAACCTGTCCGGAGATGATGATATAGACCTCTAGAGCAGGTGGGACTTGAACCTGGGCTTCTGGTCCAGGGGTAGGAACATAACCACTGTGTCATTAGAGGGCTCCCTCCCTTCCATCCAATGTCCCCTACTTAATTACTTCCTCCTGAGGTCCCTGCTATTGCAGATACCAATCTTCGGCTAACTCAATTCACTCCACTTGATACAGCTGTAAGTGCAGGATACTGCAAAGGTTATGGACTCTGAATATCCTGGCAATAATATTGAAGACTACCATGCCCTTTGTCAGGTTACCTATAGCAGCTCCAAACCTAGAACACCATAACTCAAGTAATATCCTATCTGCAAAAAAAGTCAAATGACCTGTCCTAGTGGCCTAATGGATAAGGCACTGGCCTTCTCAGCCAGGGATTGTGGGTTCAAGTCCCGTCTAGGGTGAGTTGAATTCTGTCCTGAAACACTGTTTGGTCAGGGCGGCACAGTGGCAAGCACTGCTGCATCACACCGGTAGGGACCTGGGTTCAATTCCACCCTCCGGCGACTGTCTGTATGGAGTTTGCACATTCTTCCCATGTCTGCGTGGGTTTTCTCCCACAGTCCAAAGATGTGCAGGGTAGGTGGAATGGTAATGCTAATTTGTCCATAGAGTCCAGAGGTGTGTACGTTAGATGAATTGGCCATGGAAAATGCAGAGCTAGGGGAATGGATCTGGGTGGGACGACCTTCAGAGGGACTATGTGGACTTGTTGGCCTGTTTCAACACTGTAGGGTTTCTATGAAATTATACCTAATTATTGCTCCATCAACCTAATATAGGTAAGTTTGGTGAAATTGAAGTCAGTGGAAATTGGGATAACTGCTGGTTAAAATTATACTCAGCCAAATGGAAGGTTGTTGGTAACCTTTCCAGTCCAAGGAAATTGTTCTATTAGTGCCCGAGGCTCAACCATGTTTTGCTGCTTCGTTAATAACTTTCCTTACAGCATATGGTCAGAGGTAGAACATTTGTGGATAACTGCATACTGTTCAGTACCATTCACGATATCTTGGGTGCTGAAGCAGTACACAACAGTGTGCAGCAAGATCTGACAACGTTCAAGCTTGGGTTCCTACGTCCCTACATTTACAGGGTTAGAGGCTAGGAATTCTGCAGCAGTAGATTGTCTCCTGACTCCAGAACTTGTTCACCATCTACAAGGCACGGTCAGGTGCGTAATGAATACCCATTGCAAATAACACCGCAACATTTGATTAATAAATCGCATTTTTGTTTAAGTAATGGATAACTCCCCGGAGACATCTCCCATTACAATCCTTGCAATGATGTTTGAAGGGGTAAATTTCTATGTAAGTGCAGTCTCCCAGCTCTAAGGTCACATCAGCCTGGTTTACATTGGCGCGCCTGCGCATCGCTCCCAAGGGCTGTCGGCGCGCCTGCGCACAGAGTCCTCCGGTAGGTCCGTCATGGCGGTTTCTGTCCTCTGTCGCCTGTCGCTCGGGTCAAGCGGCAGGGCCGCGGCCCGCTCCGCTTCCAGGGTAAGGACTGAGCCGGTGGAGATGGGTGCACGCTAAGGAGCGGTCTTGGGCGGTGTACTGAGGGGAACGCTCCGTGTTTGTGGGCGGACGGGGAGATCGGGTCGGGCGGTGTCTGCCCTTTGCTCATTTTCCTCCCCCCCCCCCCCCCCCCCCCCCCCCCCTCCCCCACCCCCCCTCCCCCCTACTCTCCACCCCCTCCCCTTCCCCTCCCCTCCTCCTCTCCCCCCTCCCCCCCCCTCCCACTCTCCTCCCCTCCCCACAAGGGTCACTGGACCTGAAACGTTGACTTTGATTTCTCATCACAGATGCTGCCAGACCTGTTGAGAATTTCCAGAGTTTTCCAATTTCAGATTAAAATGTTATATTGCTAAGTGTCACTGTGAGGGAAAAACTATATCAGCTTTATTTTCTGTTTCTAGATTTTCGGTGGATCCTTAAATCCAGTTGGAAGTGAAATCCAGCAGCAACAACAAAGAAATCTCTCCCTTCATGAGTATCTGAGTATGGGTTTATTGAAAGATGCAGGCATAAGTATCCCAAAAGGACAAGTTGCCAGTTCAGCTGATGAAGCCTTCAAAGTTGCCAAAGCAATCGGTATGCAGATTGAGAATATTTGATGTGAAAATCAGCAATGTGTTAAAGATTTAGTTGTACTGCTAACTTCAAGAATTTTCGTGCTTTAAAAACAATTGATGTAGACTGCACAACTAGTATTGTGAGAAGTGGTTCCTACCATTTTGATAACCTAATACAGTTTGACTTCATTGTCCAGAACTTGAAAAACCCAATCTAAATAATTGCAGACTATTTTAGAATGTTCTGCTTTCCTGTTCTTCAGGTAGTGAAACCTACATCTTTGTCTGTTTTTAGATAGTAGGCCAACACCTGTAGCAGCACAGACCTGAAGAGCTGAATGGCCTTACGTCAATTTATGTTCACTGTTGATCACGAAAGTTCAATTATCATTGGGGCAAGCTAACAAAGGAGCTTTATTTTACGGTGTTAGAATTGTCCATCGAGATTTGCCTGTTTCATTATACATTTGTAATGATATCCATAACTTCACAGATGACAAAGTAAATATTAGCACAGCTTGACTTTGTATTGAGCCATTTGCACTTGAAGGTCCAATCCTTGAAACGCTGAGCTAATTGATTTCAGTCAGAAGGCGCACCTACAGTGCTATTAGGAAGGGAGTTCCCGAATGTTGATCTGTGACAGTCAAAGCACATGATATAATTCCAAATCAGGATGGTGACTGGCTTGGAGGGCAGCTTGCAGGTTGTAGTGTAGCCCTTGTCTTTCTAGATAATAGTGGGTATGAATTTGAAGGTGCTGTCGGAGGAACCTTGATGAGTTACTGCATTATGTTTTGTAACTAGTACTGATTTCTGCCACTGTTATCAGTGTGGTGGAGGGAGTGACTGATGGCATAAGTGACTGGGATATCAATCAAACAGACTGCTGTGTCATGGATGTATCAAACTTCTTGGGTGCTGTTGGAGCTTTACTCATCTAGGCAAATGGAGAGTATTCAGTTACAATCCTGATTTGTGCCTTGTGGACGAGCATTTGGAAAACTGGAAATGAGTTATTTACTGCAGAATTCCTAGCCTCTGATTTACTCTTGTACTCTTTATTTATTATCTGGTCCAGTTCAGTTTCTGGGCAATAGCCATCTTCAGGATGTTGAAAGTGAGAGAATTCATGAATGGTAATGCTATTGGAAGTCACGGGATGGTGGTTAGATTCTCTCTTGTTGGAGAAAGTCGTTGCTTGACAGTCGTGTACCACGTATGTTACTTACCACTTATTAAACTGATCTGGATGTTATCCAGGTATTGCTGAATATGGACACAGAATTTTTCAGTATCTGAGGACATGTGAATGGTGCTGCACAGTATGCAATCCTAGAAAATAGAAGCAGAACTAGGCCATTTGGCCCTTCTGTCTTTGGGCATCTCATCAGTGAACATTCATACTACTGAGCTTATGACAGAGGGGCAATCACTGATGAAACAGCTGAAGATGGTTGGGCCTAGGAGATGCTACTGTGAGATACTCCTGCAGTAATGGCCTAGGGCTGAGATGATTAATGCACGGTAACCCCAACGATCTTCCTTTGTGCCAGTTATGACTCCAACCAGTGGAGAATTTTTCCCAATTCCTAATTACTCCAGTTTTGTTGGAGTTCCTTGATGCCATAATTGGTCAAATGGTGTCATGAGCACTCCCTGTAACCTGAGTGAGGATGGTACAATGCACGCTGTAAAATGCGTAGGCAGTTAGCTGAGTGTGCAAGCATGCAGATCAGCAATGGAAAAAGGCTGTTTGGCCTACTGTTGCAGTTCGCTTTAATTTTTTCTATGACACCTGATGTTCATACCAAGCAAATTATTCTAAACATTTGCTCCTAAATGCGTATAATAGTTTTCCTAAGTATTAATATGATTTAAGGTACCAGTCGTCTTATAATTGAGCTGAGTTGGAGCTTTCTGGGAGGACAAGAGTTTGAGTCTTCACTGAGTAAAGCACTGGTATTATGCTGGTATGCCCATTGCATTAGTTTACAGCTGAATTGATCACTCGGCTGTGGTTCACGTAAAGTATGCAGAGATAGAGATGCACACGTGTTGTTCAACCTTGAATATAGAGAGGAAATCTTTGCAGTTCATACTTAAATAGAAAAACATTAACACAAAACCATTTTTGACTTGGGTATGGCAGGCATTATATTTGGCAGTTTAGTTTATTTCTTTGTAATATAATTGTAATTTAAATGTTGTTCCATTAATTAATGCTTGCAGTATTGAATATCAACAGTTTTATCCTGTGGAAACCGAATATCATTGACCTTGAATGTGGTGTTCCCCTCTCAGTCGGTTGTGCTTAAGTTGCATGTTGACTGGTCATTAATTTCAAGTATGAGCCTGACAAATAGTGGGAGGGATACTTCCTAGGGGAGGCATAGCTTAATTTGATTTCAGTTCTTTGTTGATTACATAAAATTATTTGTTAAACAAACCTTATTAAGATATATTTGTGTATAGATTAGATCCAGATAAGACAAAGGATGATGTGCAAAGCAGTTCACAGTGTCAATCATCTTTATTTTCAGTACTAAATAATAAATTAAAATAATCCTTCTCATTTGTATGGAAATAGGAGTTTCATGGCTCAGTTTGAAGGAGGGATGATGTGGAGTTCATCCAAAGTCTGTCCAATATTTTGTTCTCTCTCACATTGCACTGGACATTTTATTCAGTTATTTATCTTTTTACTGTTTGTGGGATCTTGCTGTGTATCTTACAACAAAAGTACATATTTGACTGCACAGTGTATTTGGATGTCCCAGGGCTGTGAAAGGTACTATATATGTAGTAGTTCTTTTTTCTTTCTGTATTTGTGTCATATTTGGTATGCATTACATTTAAAATGCCGTTCTCAGTTCTTTGATAGCCTCTTTTACATTAGCTTTGGATTGAATGAGCAACTTATCTCACATTTCAAATAAATCAGACATGTTTGTGCTCACAGAACTGACTGAATCATTTAAAATTTTGTCCCTATAGGGTCGAAGGATGTAGTAGTGAAAGCACAGGTTCTTGCTGGTGGTCGAGGCAAAGGAGAATTTGAAGGTGGGCTCAAGGGAGGAGTGAAAATCGTTTACTCGTAAGTTTATCTTCTCCTCTTTATTTGCTTTTCAGAGGTCAAACACCAACTTTCTTGGTAAAGTATTAACACTGTACCACCTCCCTCCATGGTTCCAGTAAGCATCTGATTATCACTTTAGGACTACAGTGCACAGTACTTTGCTACCAGTCTAGAGGGCAAAGTGACTTTCATCATAAACCTATTAGCTCCCTTTTTGAATCGATAAAAGATTCGTCACTGTACTTGCACTTGTCTGAGGTTTATAGTACAAAGACTAATTATTTAGGATAATGGCTTGATACTAAATTGACAAACATCAGATTTAATACCAAAGTTTATCTAAGAAAGCACAATAAAGAGTAATTATTCCAAGGAGATGTGTAAATATTGCTGCCCCTGAAGAAAGCCTGTGTTTACAATTGATGCCTAAATGTGCTTGAAAGCATGGGCTTCATTAGTACAACGGTCAGGAGCTCTGTTGTTAAACTAAATAAATTTCAAAGACTATTAATATTGATAGAGGAGACAATATAAACAGAAAATATTGAATGTGCTATGAAAGGATGTTGTGTTATTGATTAAAAGACTTCCAATCCTTCTGGGATTTTTTTTAGCACAATATAAAGTTGGTTTGTCTGCTTTCTGCCTGGTAGAAGACTTACTATACACAGTTTAAAAAATAGGCATGCAATAGTACGTTTAGAATTTCATGCCACTAAAATCAGTTAATGTTGGAATAGACCTATGAGAATCTTTCATCGTTTAAAAGGAGGAAGTGGGTGTTGTCATACAAAACAGGCCTTGCTAGATTAGTGAACTGATCATCATGGTAAAGTGATCAATCTCAGCATTACTAAAACCAAGTCTATGTATACGTGTTCTAAAGATGAGAAATGTCCTAGAAAGTAAAACATTTGCCTGAATCTCTCAATGTAGTTAAAATAAAATGTTTGCAGTATTACAATAAGTTTATTAAAATTGTTTCAAACTTGTTCTGCAAAAGATCATTCAGAAGTCACTCCAAAATATATGTTTGGAAAGGTTTAATCCAGTATAGTCCAGTGAAATTTTTGCAGCTAACCAATCTTAGGAGGCTGCTAAAATGTATTATATACAGTACATTAGAACCCTAATATCAAATAGCAATAATCTAATGATGCTTTTCCAGGAGAGTTTGCAGTGAATCATTGCACATAGAAATTCAAAACTATATGTAGGAAGTTAAGTTATTTGACTGTTTGGATATGAAAGATTATAAAAGTCAATATTCTCCTGCGGACTAGTGGCATCTTTATCATGGGGACATTTGAACAACACAAAGTGAGGAGGAAATCATGGAGTAAGTGACAAGTGCCAATAATTTTGATGTTCCATATTTTACTGAAACTTTTCAGCTGCTTTGCCATTATCTTCAAAAACAATTAAACAATAATTATCAGTTAAAAACAGAAAGAACTGCCGATGCTGTAAATCAGGAACAAAAATAGAAGTTACTGGAAAAGGTCAGCAGCTCTGGCCTCATCTGCAAAGAAAAATAAGAATGAACATTTCTGGTCCGGTGACCCTTCCTCAGAACTGATTAATCATCATAGCTTGGTCCCCATTGAAATTAATTGTGATTGCCATTTTCCTGCAGTTAAATCATTTTTCACATCATTACCATATAGACTTAAAATAATGGTGTAGTGTGTATGATTTTGTAAGATATTCACTGAATCAGATTATTTTAAAATGATCCTGGAAATAAGTTTGAATTTAAAAAGAAATTCCACTGAGGGTAGAAATAGTAGAGTTTGACATGATTTGGGACTGATGCATGCTTTGGAAAATGCATGTTGATATTCAAGTGCTTTATCTTGTGCCTGTCAGAATTCAGATGCATTTGAATTTTGAGCAAACTAACAACGATATAGCAACCAGTGCACTTCAGGCTTCCATCTAACATTGAGGACTGCACGCTGGTTTGACAGTTGTTTTTTCCCTCTAGCTATTAAAGGTAATGGGCAGAAAAATCAGAGTGCATTATTAATTTTGCCCATACACAGTTCGCTAGTCCTAATTTTGAGTTAGGTGAATATAACTAACTCTATGCTAAAGTGAAGTCTGGAGCTATAGTATTCTGGAATGCCATTGGAGTATGCATTTGTTACTGTTGCAGAGTTCACACAAAGTAAACCACTTTATAAGCCTTACAAAGTGGTATAATCCAACAAGATCTGGATGGAGGTATTTCTAAGAGATGAAAGGAAGATAGAAGAACACTAACAATAAGATTAAAAAGTGTTCTAAAGACGTTTAACAAACCAGTTCAAATGTATTTAATTCATTAAAACACATTAAACCTTATTAGCATAAATAAGTTACTTTTAAACTAAATGTGAATGTTGAAGAAGGTGTTGATTATCCTCTGGTAATTATCGTTGACTTGAATTAATATATCGGCTCCTATCTTCATAATATCTGGCTAATCCTTGAACCTTCTTAAGCAATCATCATTCCTTATAGACACCATCATGGAAGGCAGGACATTTCTTAACACTGTCTAAGGTGATGCGACATGTATTACAAACTTCTGATTCCTTCTCTGACCCAACAAGAGTTTCAGCTCAGAACAGGTCTGAGGCCTACGGTATAAGCAGCTAAGAACCTTCCTTCTGGAGCAAACTCACCTAATCCATAGATGGGTAGGAGAGCACCAGATTTGCAGACTTTTACTTTGAGACCAGGTACCTAGCAGTATTTAGATTTTTTAAATGAAGAAGACTGTTTTAATTATATAGGATTAATCAAATTACATACATTTGCATGGGGAAGCCTTAGAATTACTTCTTAAAGCATAAACTTAAGCTTTTTTTTTACACAATGTGTAAAATTGTTCAATTGTCCTATTGGCAAAATAGCCATAAAAAATGTAAATTTTGGAAATGTCTGGTAAATTTAATGCGGCTCGCTAATGGAAGGGTATCTACTTTCCTGTGAAGTCCATTTTTCAACAAATTCCCTTATGGATTTCTAAATACAGCAGTTTAAAAATGTTTTTGTATGCTTATCTGCCTGAGGAATGACAGTACTGGAGCAAAAGTACTTCAAATGTCAGGTATTTAATGTGAGCATAAAGCATTGTCTAATCAGGGGTTGAGTAGTTTGATATAGAATATAATTCTGTGATGACTCCTCCACTAAAATCAAACTGATTTAATTGCCTATTCACAGCGACGCTTTAGTTCAGTATGATTCAAGCCTCTGTTTTGCTTGGTACCATTACAATTTAAAAATAGTAATCATGGCTATCATCCCAATCCTTAATATTTCATAATATTATAGCAATATTGAATTATAATGGCACTAAAGCAGACCATTGAGCTTGTTGAGCCCCTGTCACTTTTGTTCCATGAACTCAAACTAATAATATGGCATTCTGCCAAATCCCACGTCTAATTTAAACCGTAAAGAGAAATCAGGCATAGCTCAAAATTTAAATAGTATCTCTTACTTTTGCAAAATATACCTTTAATTGGACATCCTCTGTATTTAATTTCATCCAGTCACAATATTTACCCACCAAAAGTTTAGCTTCCTGTTTCCAAGTTAGCTGGAAAGAGGACAATTTAGCTCCTTTCTCTTGTGGTGTTGAGAGTAAAATTAGTCAGTTAGATTAATGTTTCATTTTATGATCCAGTCATTCCTGAAAAGTGCATTTTTGTTAGCACAATGTTACAATGAGGGCAGGGGTAGTCACTATTTTGTTTTGATCTACATGGATTCATAAAACCAGGGTTTTTAGAAGTAGAAAAGTGTTTGATAACCTGCTAAATGTTTTTGAGGATATAACTATAGAGGGATATGGTGTGTGTGGGTACTTTGAAAGCTTTTGATAATTTCCCCCCATGAGCGGTTATTGTGCAGAATCAAAACACAGTGGATTGGTGGTAATATATATGCACGGATGGAGAACTGGTTACGGGCAGGAATAAATGGGTTGTTTTCAGACAGGAAACGGGGACAAATGGGGTACCACAGAAATCAGAGTCGGGCCCCCAGCTATTCACTATATCTATCAAAGAATTGGATAAGGAAATGAAATGTGATCTTTCCAAGTAAGTGTGAATTCATCTATTTCAGTCAAAAAAGAAGAATGGCTAGGTATCATTTAAATGGTGACAGATTGGGAAAGGTTGAGGTACAAAGGGACCTAGATATCCTTGTAAGTATTTTTAATCAACCAGTTTGGGCATGTTATGACATGTTTCCCTAGCAAGTGGGAATTGAGCCTCGATGTACTTGATCAAAGGTCCTGCTGCACCACAAGAGTCCCCTCTGGGTGTCCTTGTACACCAGTCATTGAAAGCAAGCATTAGGAAGGCAAGGAAGCCTTCCTGTGACTGTACAGGACCTTGGTGAGACCACACCTGGAGTTTTGTGTGCAGTTTGGTCTCTTTACCTAAGAAAAGGTGTACTTGCTGCAGAGGGAATCCAATGAAGGTTCACAAGTGGAGAGCATGGGAGTATGGTGCAGAGGATCATGGGATCCATTTGCAGAAGACACTGGTGAGAATTAGCCCACATAATATTTCGAGCAGATTCAGAATATGTAAGACTTGTTCTGACCAAAAATTCTCAAATGTTTCTGACAGGAACCACAGGAGTATTGTTCCAAGATGAGAATAGTAACAAATAAGATGATAGTACACAGTCTTGGCTGTATGCAGCATAAAATTGGCTTTGGCCTTGAGATTTCCTTTGTGTGGTTTAGTACCATGGCAACATTGCAGTTATGTGTTAAGGAGAAAGTGCGATTTGACTTGCGTTTAAGCTGAATTTGTTAACTCCCTGAAATGCACTTGGTGGCAGGATAGACTGAGCAAATGGCCTGTTGAAAAATGTCTCTGCTGAAATAATACTATGTGTTCTTTTGAGAAATGATGGTGGGTGGCATTTACATGCAGTAACCTTTTTTTAGTCTACTTCTTGTTCATGTTATTTAGTAAAGCGAGTGCTTGTTACCCAACAGGATGGTA